CAAGACACCTCGTTGCAAATGTCTGGGCTTAACCTAGTCTGGAATTGCAACACTTTCTGGACTTATTAATTTTTGAGCAACAATACCCAGCTTCTATTAGATTAAAATTGAAATATTATTAGATTGAAAAAGACTGAACGTTAATTATAGGACAATGATCTCTTCCAAGCCATTCACTCATTTTAGTCCCATATGATTGTTATCCTCCTAAACTTATAGCTATTCTACTCAGGAACGTTTCAATAGTAAGGATCTTCCATTGAACACTTTAGAAGCATAGAAAATTAAACTAATTCTTGCATTTGATGCAGTATCTTTCACTTCATGAAAGAGGGGTGATAGGGGCGATAGGGGTCATGGGGGTGATAGGGTCATGGAGCCTGGTCCAGGAGAGGACACATCTATCTGTATCGGCAATGGGAGGGAAGAGAAGAAAGGTAAGAACTTTGGCTACCAGGTGTTGGGTAAATCGGGTAAAACTCCCTGCCCCAATGCATCCCGCTTAAGCAGATTCCACTGTACGTATATCAGTCATCGTTTCACGATCTAACACCCTTCTTGTGTGAAAAAAATCTCAACTTTTCCTTTGCTCTTTTAGTTATTGTCTTATATCTGTGCCCCCTAGTTCCCATGAGCAGGGAAAATAATTGTTCCTTGTTTATTACATCACCCCTCACAATTTAAAAAATCCCTATCAGTTTTCCTCTGAATTTTCTCTGTAGTAGAGAAATAACCCTCGTTCTTCCACTTTCTCAACATAAGTTTCATTACTCATAACATCCCAATAAATCTCCTCTACACCTCTCTCTATTTTGACTTCCTTCCTATGTTGGAGTGCCCAAAATTGTACACAGTATTCCAACTGTGGCCTAAGTAATGATTTATACAGGTTTAGCATTATTGCTTTGTTTTTGTATACTATGCCCCTATTTATGAACCTTAATTTGTATTAGTTCTTCTTAAGTCATTTGAAGGATGTCTTGGCCAAAAACGCAACTGCATTTGAAGAGTGACATACAGTATACAGGATACTGCACAAACAGGAAGCAGCATAATGATACAGATGAGCAGTAGATGTTCTAGGGACCAGATAGCTTTTAACTGATACACATGTGTGATCAGTTTTACTGCACGCTATTGGTACCGAAGGTACTTTGTGCCACCGAGGTATTGCCATTCAATCTTGTTCAAACACTGATTATGCCCCATTTTATAATTTGTACCAAACCGAAGGTTGATAGCAAATCCAGATCTCTTTCTGTGTTTCACATTTCAGACCACTTTTTATCAAAATGTGAACCCTTGTCAGAATGCTTTCCCCAACTGTTCCCAATTTACGTGAATGCATGCCGCAAAAGCTAACGTGTTTGCGTGGACAATAACAGACTGATCCTATTCACTGGCTTAACTGCTGCAATCAAACAAAATACGCCAATCTGGTGACTTGAGACAGAGAACAATGGAGGGCTGAGAGTGCGTAACACGGCGGTAATGAACACAAGCGGCTCAGGGGACACTCGAGGGAAAAGGGAAGCAGAACCCTTCACAAGAGTCATCCAATCGCAGGAGGTGGTTACACCCTTTTGAATTTTTTGTAAAAAATTCTATTGTGCCTTTTGCTTTCTCACCGTTGTAGCCACCTAGCTTCGCTCTGCACCTTTGCCTCAAGTGAGACGCACGCTTTCAGCTGAATAATACACTACCTTTTCTGCATACCTGCCTCCCACCAAGCAGTTACATATCGAATACGATTTCATATCGAATACGGTTTTTTTTTTAAGTAAACTGTTGATCAGTCGAGAAGGTTGCAAAGGTTTCATGGAATCATTAAGTTGCCCTTTGCTTGCAAACATCCTGTCCATAAATGTCTAACATGATACCAATAAAAAGAAAAAAAAAAGGCAAATCGAACTGCTTCGCTAAAATTGTCATGGCTCAACGAGCAATTATAAGTAGTCATCTCGTCTTTTACTTCACAGACCTGTCTTCAGCTAATAACTTGCATATTTATATAAATAATTCTTCCATTTGATATAGCGCTTTATCATGTCGCTGAAATGTCCCAAACTGCTTCCCAAGATTTACCGTGAAGTGTGACTACTGTGTATTTTTAAGCAAACATGGCAACAAATTTGTGCACAGCAATATCCCACAAATAGCTACAGGTGAATGACCAATTTTAATTGGGGTTCTGGTCCTTCTCTTTTCTAGTGCCACAGGATCTTCAGCATCTCACCAGAGCTTGGTTTAATGAGTCAGCTGCAGGACGGCACCTCTAACAGCGCAGCATTGTACTGGAGTGTCAGCTGCAACAGCAACAACAACTTGTATTTATATAGCACCCTTCACGAGGGGTGGGTCCCGGAGCGCTTGACAGTGGCAGAGTCCGACAAAGAGCCAGGAGGAGAGGGAGGTGACCGTAAGCATGATCAAAATGGCAGGTCTTTAGGCAGGAGTTGAAGGTGGGAAAGGGGCAAAGCAGAGCGATTGAGGGAGAGAGTTCCACAGTTTGGGGGTGTAGTGGTTAAAAGCACGGCTACCGATGGTGGAATGGAGGGGATGAGGGACAAACAGGGGCCATAGCCAGCCGAGCGGACGCAGTGGGGTAAACAGGTCAGATACGTAGGGAGGTGAGAGGGCATGAAGGGATTTGAAAACGAATGAGAGAATCTTGAAATCGATCCGTTCGGTAATTGGGAGCCACTGGAGCCTGGCAAGGACCTGTGTGATGATAAGACTATAAGATCAAAGCCCTGACGTAGGACTTGAACACACAATCTTCTCTCTCAGAAGCAAGAGTGCAACCAACTGAGCAACACATGCAGAGCTTTTCATGTAGAATAAATATCTTGAAGTGGTTTACAATGAAGGAGGGAGAGTTTGAAGGTGCGGACCTGGGCAAAGTGAGAATTTGTTGACAACAAGAGAACGTTCATGCTATATGACTTTGACAGACTATTCCAGAATGCGGGAATAGTGGCTGCGTAATTGGTCACTGACTTTGGAAAGGAGGGAGTAAAGAATGAGCAACAGAAAAAAAAATCAAAAGAGTGGAGGACACGGGCAGCTGATTAAGACTGGAGGCGATTGAGCAATGACTTGAGGTTAATGAGGGGTTCTCCCTCAGGTGATGATTTTCTCCACTCCTCTGAAATCTACATCAAAAGATATATTCAGTGAAGCCAAATGCCACTTGTTTCGCTTTTTTCTCTCCGTAAAGTCCCTGCATGAACTCCTCCAATCCGGCTTTCAATCTGCCCACAGTATCGAGACTGCCCTGGTCAAATTCACAAATTACATTCTCTCCATCTGTGACCAGGGCTTTATGCCTCCTCATCTTTCTCGACCTCTCTGCCACCTTCAACACTGTCGACCATTTTATTCTTCTCTCCCGCCTTAGCTTTCAACTTTACCTTCACAGTTCTGTCCTTTCCTGGTTTCATTCTTGCCTATCCCGGTGTCTCCATATAACATATTTGCCAATGGCATCTCCCTGTGCCTCTATCCCCCGGTTTTCTCCTCTTTAATATTTAGAAGCTCCCACTCGTCAATGTCATCTGCTGGCCTGGGGTTAACTTGCACATGTATGCGGATGACACCCATCTTTCTGCCTCCAACCTCGACTCCAGGATCAACGCTGTCTTGACCACTGTCAATATTGCCTATCAGACATCAAGTCCTGATGAGACCTAACTTTCTCCCACTCAGATGTCGAAAAGACCGTCTCTCTCCTGCTTGGTTCCCGTCAGTGCCTGCTCTTCTCAGAAGCTGACAGCATCAATCGACATGGATGCACTCTCCACCTCACGGACCCATTGTGGAATCTCTTTTAATTGTCCTTTAAAGCCCACAACCTCTATCTTCACCCATTCAGCTTTTCACAGCCTCCACTACGTCTCTCCTTGGGCCAATAAGACTCTTATTCATCCTTTTATCCCATCTAGGCTTGCCTACGCCAACTCTCCGCTCACCAGACTTCCCAACTCTTCCCTCCACGAGCTGCAGACCATCCAGAACTCTGCAGCTCGTACCTTCTCCTACACCAGGCTCTGTGAGCCTAACTACACCATCCTCATTCGGCTACACTGGCTCCCCATCCCCCAGAGGATTAAGTTCAAGATCCTCATCCTCACTTTTAAATTATACATTTCCCCAACATTGCTGGAAGGTCCAGTAGCGAGAAAGGAAACTTTCCACTGTGTAGCTGCTTGTTGCCCCATGGTTATAAACACCTGGGAGCTTAGGGTAGTACAGAGATCTCTAATTAAACCAGTCTGGAATGCTCTGTACATACGTACAGGATCAGACTTCAGATATCGTTTACATATACTCAAGCTTCGCTCTTGTGGCATATCATATCTTCTGAACTCAATGCGATTGCAGCTTGAATCACTCTTGATTCCCAGTTTTGACAGACTGATGTGAAATGGTTTCTTATTTTATCTGGACATCAAATTATTTCATTGCTTGTTGAGTCATTTTCAAGCCTTGTCCAAGTCAATAAATAAACAATTAACTATCAGCAGATCAGAGTACAGTGAAAAAATAACCTCAATTAAGTTAATAAATTGGATGCTTCATGTAATTGTCCAAATTAATACATGAACGTTTATCTTTTAAGCAATCTATTTGATCACTTAATATATTTTGTAGCATGTACATCTCTGAAAGCTAGATGCGAAATAATATCAACATAACGTTTTTCATTCCTTCCTAAATGTTACATGATAAGAAAAGGGCTGTTAGGGTTTCACTGTGTAGATGTCTGGAGTCAGCATTTTGGATAGGTTTTCGCTTCCCACTTTAATTGATGTGTTATTAAAACCCAAGCTTGGTATCACCTAAGCACCAGTTGTTGATCGTCTACTCTTGCCTCTGCTGGCCTACTCTTTCAATTTGAAGAGATCCTCAAAGCATAGAAAACAAGTTAGCAAATTTGGGTTCATCGCTATTTGCCTTGTTTACAATGTGGTGTCCCAACACATTTTTGAAGCTCCTACCTTCATTGTTCAGCCTCGCAGACGTGTGTATGTTGAACTGCAAGTTTTTATCTTCTTCCTCATTATGTCCTAGGATCATCCAGCTCTTGATTTCATCATCATTCTCTTCTTCTGAACTATCGCTGTCCTCTAATATTATAAACTCTTGGATTTGCTGACGTTTCCTGCCCAAACTAGAGTTTGCGGCGATATCTGCCGGAGCCAATCTGCATTTACTTGAAGTACACAGTCCAGACGTTCTACTGGAATTTGATGCTGAATGGAAGGCATGGTTGCTTGAATGTGATGCAAACTCCTCGATGGATTGATCTCTTTCTGTAGCTCCAGATTTTGAATCTTTAGAATCCTTGCTGCCATAAACACTGTCATCATCATCGGCAAAGTCTGAAATGACTATCACATCAGTATCAGCCTTTTTAACATTGTTTTCGATGAAACTCTGTACTGGAGCATCCACTTCACTCAGATTGGAAGCATAATGCACTTGGCTGTATAACTGGAACTCCACATCACTGTCTATTTCTGACTCACTGATCTGCTCACCATACAGGTCATTTTCATAGGCCTCCACATCTTCATAACCACTAAACATCGTGAAAGAACAAAATATGCCTGCAGATAAAAACACACAGCAGTTAAAAATTAAACAGAATTAGCCTATTCATCTTAGAACGAATGGTCGAGGAGAATTCTCACACACTTATAAGATTCAACAACAAAACTATTTTAGAACATTCCACAAGGAGCCATGAAGTGAACGAACAAACAAAATTGATATTGATTGAAACCGAATCCTTTAAAACACTTAAAGGTAGGCCATACCTGAACCCACAGGATATTTAATTAATTACGTAATAACCCCTTCAAGAACATTTTTTAAAAAAATAATAATTTGGTCACTCACTCCACGACTATTTCTGTGTCACAGCTACGCGCAATTCGTTGCCGCATTTCACCCACAAGATACAGTCACTATACTTTACGGTATATTCTGTGAAGTGCTTCGAGACATCCTGAAGACGTGATGAGGTACTATATCAAATGCAAGGATTATTATTATGTATTTTGAAATCTTAAAAGGTATTATTTTTTATAATGAAGTAGAAAACTTAATGTCACCTAATTTCTTGCTCGTTAATGGGAAGACAAAATGTTTGAAAAAAATTTGCATTTCAAACCATAAATAAACCTTAAAGATCACAGTTCTACTGTATGTAGTAAAGAACATATAAATTGTCTAAGTCTTGCAAAGGATATATCACACTCATTGCACATTGTCAGTAACTGCAAATGTAAGGATTATTATGGTTTATAATACTAATAATGAAGAATAACAAAATATTAATAAATAATATTAATAACCCTTGCATTTGATATAGCGCCTTATCATGTCGTCAGGACATATCAAAGCACATCACTGGATTTACAATAAAGTGCAGTGACTGTATTTCAACATCCCACAAAGAGCCATGAAGTGATGACTGATTTTTATCTGACCAGGATACCCGGAAACACCCTTCTGTTTTCAAAGTGTCATGGAATCTTTGACGTCCACCTGAACAGGCAGGAGGCTCAGTTTAACAGCTCGCCCGAAAGGACGGCATCTCCAACAATGCAAGAACTACAGCAGGAAGGGCGTACACGGTGGTTGGCCCTCCCCACTTCCCCCCGCTGCCGTGCGCGATGACGTTGATGTTACACCCCTAGGAGGGCGAGCACAGAGTGTTGGAGTGCGCATGTGCGGGGCTCAGTTTGAGGTAGGCACAGGAAACAAAGTTTTGACCCGACAGCCTTAGCGGCAAATGCCGTCGTGGCGAGTTACGGAGTTGTTAATAATAATAATCCTTGCATTTGACATTGTGCCTTATCAGGTCTTACGACTAATGCATGTAACTTTAAATGGACTTAATAGGAAATTGAATGGAAATTGGGCAGATGTACGACTTAGACGATTATACAATTTATACAGATCAGACTTATGTGAGTTGCACTGCGTTAGGTACAGGTTGGCAAAAGCCAAGGTTTGAAGACCGCAGCATGTACATTGGTGTACTGTCCGAGTTTGACTAGCTCAAACGGTATATCTTGCCATCGAGAGCACCCTATCCACGAGGGCTTTAGCTTGGATGTATAATAGGAGCCAAATGGGAAGAATCTCTGGCTCCCGGTGACCCACCTGTAATGATACTCAAATCTAAAGCACGGGAGTGTTAGCAAGTTTCTTTATTAGCAACTCAAGAGCATTCCAATCCACTCACCAAAACCATACCCATACCACTTCCTGTCTGGGATATCCCTTTAATCCCAGTGTATACTACACTGTCTGCCCCTCTAAGTCCTGCTGATGAGTCAGGCTGACTTGTCTGGAGGCTGCAGACCAGTACGCTTTGGGTACAAAATTCCCGAGATCACCACAGAGTGTCACATTCCATTGCAAGCTTGTCACCTTGGAGCCAGCTCAGCAAATTACTTTCTGTGTGAAGAGGGTATCCACTGACCACCTTGCGCAGGAAGTTGATCCTGTGACGATGGGTGAAAGGCAAATCAGAGTACAGGAGGGGTGCATGGTATTAATGCTAAGTTCCTAAAAGCTGATCTGGAGGAACGGATGGGGAATGGTAAGGATTTTACAGACGTTTCCCCAGGAACTGTTGGGCTTGTCTTTGAGCTGCTCTGGTAAACTCGATTCTGTCTGAGGCACACGTACTGTCAGTGAATCAAGAGTGCAATTAGAGTAGCTGTCCACAACGAGGGTGATGCAGTGAGATCCTGGGGGTGGGAGGAGAAGCAGTTTGAACAGACAAAGTGGAGACGCTGGAATTAGTAGGAGAAAAACCAAGATAGGACAGAACGTTGAAGGTGGAGCAGAGGAGACACGGTGGAAAAGGATAAGAGTCAAGGCAGCAGAGAGATTGAGGCGAACAAGGAAGCAGAGAGAGACCTGATTTATATGGAGAAAATGTTACTAATGATTTTGGCCAACGTCGTCTCTCTGTAGCGGAGTGGGCGAAAGCTGGATCGGAGGGGGTTCGTGGAAAGAGTGCCGGGAAAGGAAGATCAAAGCTGGAAAAGGAAAGAGGCTAAGCTGGGAAGCAAATGACTTATTCCAGCAACTGAAGAAAAGAGGGATAGAGACGGACCAGTACAACAACAATATATATTTATGTAGCGCTTTTTATTTCTAGCGTGACTTTCCTTGCCAAAGTCCTGGACCGTGTCGTTGCAAATTAAGTCCGCTCCCAACTCTCCCAACTCGAGCCCCTCCAGTCCGGTTTCCGCCCCGCGCAGAGACACCGCTCGTCAAAGTCACAAATGACGTGTCCCCCCGTCCCCCCCCTCCTCTCTCTCTCCCTCTGCCTCCTTGTCCTCCTGGACCTTCTCACTGCAGTCGATCGCCAATCATGCAATTGGCGCGCTTCCAAATGGACTGCAAATCCCTTCACGCCCGGGCCACCCACCCCCGGGCCCCCCCCCCCATCTCTCCAATCTGCTTTCTCCGCTCCTCATCCCCCTCCCCGCGGCCCCTCACCCCCCCGCTCCACCCCCAGGGCGGCCGTGCTTTTGAGCCACCGCCTTCCAAAACTACGGAACTCTCTTTCCCCAATCCAATCCCTCCGCCTCGCCTCCTCCTCTTCCTCCTCCTCCTCTTCGCACCCCCGAAGAAGACCTTCCCCCTCTCCGATGTCGTGCCCGCGGGCGGTCGGGTACCCATCGCTTCGCCAGACGCTGCCCCCTCCCCCCCCCCCCACCCGCCCTCCAGATTTCAACTCGTTTGAGGTTCGTCGGTTGGTTTGTTCCCCCCACCCCCCGCCCCCTACCCCTCGCCCGCGGCGCCCGCCCCCCCACCCCTCGCCCTTGCCCCCCCACCCCTCACCCGCGGCGCCCGCCCCCCACCCCCTACCCCTCGCCCGCTCCCCCCGGGCGGTTTAAAGGTTATTCCTCGTGACCGTTTCTTTAATAATAATATATATATATATATTGTAAAAAAAAACACAAACAAAAACAACAAACAAACAAAAAGGAGTGAAAACACCGTTTGGGGCAAAGCTCTGCTCCCCCCCCCACCCCCCACCCCCCCCGTGAGGGGGAGGGGAGAGGGGAGTGGGGGGGAGAGGGGAGTGGGGAGTGGGGGGGAGAGGGGAGTGGGGGGGAGAGGGGAGTGGGGGGAGTGGGGAGTGGGGAGAGGGGGAGTGGGGGGGAGAGGGGAGTGGGGGGGGAGAGGGGGAGTGGGGGGGGAGAGGGGAGTGGGGAGTGGGGGGAGAGGGGGAGTGGGGGGGGGGGAGTGGGGGGAGGGGAGTGGGGAGGGGGGGGGGGGGGGGAGGAGAGAGCTCTCACAGCCCCACACCAGGTGCTCTCACGCTCCTGTGACTCATCCGCGGCCACAGACTGAGCGAGAGGCCGAGGCTCGGCGCTGCCTCCCTCACAGGGCCCCACACCGGCCCCACTCTCACCCCCACACACACACTCACTCACACACACACTCACTCACTCACACACTCACTCACACACTCACACACACACTCACACACACTCACACACACTCACTCACACACTCACACACTCACTCACACACTCACTCACACACACACTCACACACACACTCACTCACTCACACACACACTCACTCACACACTCAAACACACACACACACACTCACACACACACTCACACACACACCACACACACACACTCACTCACACTCACTCACACACACACACACTCACACACACACACTCACTCACACACTCACTCACCCCCACACACACACTCACTCACACACACTCACACACACACACACACACTCACTCACTCACACACTCACACTCGCACTCACACTCACACACACTCACTCACACACGTGCTCAGTGTCAGGCCTCTCCCCACCACTCGCGGCCTCTGTCTGGTTGGTACACACTCACACACACTCTCTCTCTCTCTCTCAACACTCAATTTCTCTCACTCCCTCTCTCTCTCTCTCATTCACTCACTCCCTCCCTCTCTCACACACACACTCTCCCTCTCACACTTCCTCTCTCTCTCTCTCCCTCACTCCGTCACACACTCACTTTCTCTCTCTCTCACACACTCACTCACTCTCACACTCTCTCCCTCTCACACTCTCTCTCTCACACTCTCTCTCTCTCTCACACTCTCTCTCTCTCACTCCCACTCTCCCCCTCTCACACTCTCTCTCTCCCTCTCACACACTCACACTCTCCCTCTCACACTCTCTCTCTCACTCCCACTCCCCCCCTCTCTCTCTCTCTCTCTCACACACACACTCACTCTCGCTCTCTCTCACACACTCCCTCTCACACTCTCTCTCTCACTCCCACTCCCCCCCTCTCTCTCTCTCTCTCACACACACTCACTCTCTCTCTCTCTCACACACTCATTCTCCCTCTCACACTCCCTCCCTCCCTCTCCCACTCCCTCCCTCACTCCCACTCCCTCCCTCACTCCCCCTCCCTCCCTCTCACACTCTCCCTCCCTCCCTCACTCCCTCTCCCTCTCCCCCTCTCTCACTGACCTGTCCGCGCCGCCGCCGCCGCCGCCGCTCGGGGGCCGACCGAAACCGGTCGCCAGCGACGCCGGAGTTTTTTTTTAAAAAAAAGCAAAACTTCCGGCCATAGCCGTGAGCGGCGCCTGGGCCGACCATCAGCTTACCCACAGCCCGGGAGTTTCACCTGTGGTCTATCTGTCTATCTGTCTGTCTGTCTGTCTGGCACCACCCCCCCACCACACACCCACACACACCCCCACACACACCCCCACACACACCAGCAGGCACTGTGAGCCGCCTCCCATGGGATGTCGCGCCCGACCGCATCACCCGAGACATCTCGAAGCGCTTCGCAGGATACACCGTGAAGTGGAGTGACTTGTGTTATTATTTACAATAATAATAATAATACTACTACTACTACTAATAATCCTTCCATTTGATATAGCGCTGTTCACGTCTTCCAGACGTCCCAAAGCGCTTCACAGAACACACTGTAAAGTGAATTGACTGTATATTTGTGGGCGAACGCGGCAGCCAATTGCGCACAGCAATGTCCCACAAACAGTCGCGGATTGAAAATGACCAATTTATTATTGTTTTTGGCTTTGGAGAGACTATTATTAGGCTCTGTGTGGAGTAAGGAAACTTGCCCAAGGTTTCGCCCTCTGACTGGAATTGAACTCAGGTCTCTCGCTTGCAAAGCGAGTGCTCTAACTACTGAGCTACAGGACTCCACAATTATTATTATTATTATTTATTCGGGTGAAATGTGGCTGCCAGTGGCGCACAACAGCGCCGCACAACAAGCCATGCAGTGAATGACCAATTTTTATTTGCGGGGATTGTTGGCCGGGATCCCAGGAGAGAAACTCCCTTCTCTTTGCGAACAGTGCCATGGAATCTTCAACGCCCGCCAGAAGGGTCCTCGGCTTGACATTTCATCCGAAGGACAGCACCTTCGACAATGCAAATAATGCATTGCGTATCAATAGTATCACACACGTCATATGGCAACGCAACTGATCTAATTTCTATTAACGTTATCTGCGTGAAGGGCACTATATCCATGTTATGGCATGAGTCTGTGAACAACTCAAGATTAAGGATTGGTAAATATCAATGAGAGAGCATAAATGTTTTTGAGAATGTTTATTTCTATTTTCTCCAATCCCAAGAACACATCAAGCACACATCAGGAGGACATTAAAGATCCTATGGCATTATTCAAAAAACAGAAGGGAGTTTCTTCCGGTGCCCTGGCCAACATTTCCCATGATAAAATTGATCATTCGTCTCATGGCTGTTTGTGGGACACTGTTGGCACAAATTGGTTGCTGCATTTACCCACCAAATACATAGTCGCTACACTCTACAGTATACAAAATATAAATAATAATAATCCTTGTATTTGATACAGTGCCTTATCACGTCTTCGAGATGTCTCCAAGCGCTTTAGAGAATATACTGTAAAGTGAATTGACTATGTTTTGTGGGCAATATGCGACAGCCAATTGCCCAGTGCAGTGTCCTACCAATAGCTGTGGATTGAGTGACCAAATTATTATTTTGTTTTGAAAGGGATTATTACCCCTGGAAAAGTGATCCTCCAATCAACGAACAACCGGGTTCCTACTCACCGCTAGGTAAACAGAGGCGTGTGGAGTAAGGAAACTTGCCCAACGTTTCGCCCTGCCGGGAAACAAACTCAGGTCTCTCGCTTTACGAGGCAAGCGCTCTGACCACTAAGCTATAGGACTCATACTATCTCATTTTAGGCAACTTCAGTGTTTCTTCTTAGTGATGGAGTAGAGTAGTCCTGTTAGAAGTTTCTATACAAATCCCATCTCTGCTTTGAATACCGTGTTGACTAATCGATGTAGTGAGGATAGTCCACTCAATGGCAGCCAACATTATTGAACAGATGTTGATGGCTCGTCAATCCTCTTGTTGCAAACAGAGTTGTTAGCTTTCAAGCCAAACTGGAACTTTTAAGTTGGAACTGCAACTCAACATTCAGATGAACCAAAATGTCTCAGTGACAAATATTCATGTGGTCCCATCCACACTATCTCGCCAGAGTGAAAATTGTATATTAAAATCCTGGGAAACATTTCCATTGAAAAGATTATAAAGGCCTTGTTCAATGCCAATTTTGCTTTTTCTGTCCCGTTGCTATGAAAACACAATCAACAGTTGACAATTGTTATCGTAATTGTGATCTTTCTTATCCCTTCAATGGGCTCAAACAACTAGGTGTAAATACTTTTCAAATGCCCATTATTGAATTGAAAGCAACAGGAAATTATCATTAAGAACTTTAGTAAAACATTCTGTGCTAACTCTGACAGCAGATTGAAAGTAACAATTTGTGATGTAAGGGGAAGTTCATAAGGTGGCAGTGTACACTGAAAGCAACGGTAGACTGATGTTAACATAGATTTGACTGAATGATATTTGCAATAGAAATGTTTCCCAAGAGATTTAATAGGCAATCTTCCTTTGCACAAATTTGCACGGATCCAATTGTGGTACTCTCAGAGAGATGAATGGTAAATAGCTGTCATCTCCTATTGCCATCTCGCTGGATTTGTGGAAAATCATAATACATAACACGTGCTTGCAAACATTTTTACAGAGACGAAGAAAGTCGTGTGCTACATGAAAATATGCATTACATTGGGTGGGGGAGGAGAGTGTTCACATTGGCCTTTGATTTACTGGGATAGATTTTGCACCAAGACTATGCACAATGACAACAACAACAACAACAAAATTACATTTGTATAGCGCCTTTCACGTCGGGAGGACGTCCCAAGTCGCTGGACAGACAGAGTTACGGACCCGAGCTGGGGGTCGGGTGGGGGAGGGTGGAGGGCAGGGGGGGGGAAATAATCCTTCAAAGTGGACAATTGTCAACATCAGCCATTACACCCGCTGCTGACAAACAAATTAACCAAAACTGCGGCCACTAATTCCTTAGTAAGATTATACTATTTTTAAAAAAAATTTTATGTAAAAGAGTGAGTCAAGAAATTAATCTCAACTCACGGTTCAGAGGAGTTTTATGAATGATGTGGGCTTGTTTCACTCTTGTGATTTATGACATCAACTGAACCCCTGATGAGATTACTTCCAGTAATCACGCCCTGGTAACAATTATTCTCTGTCGTCCCATTTGTGAGACTGACACGATCGTCATTGGCTGATGATTTGTGTGACAGTCAGTAGTAGTGAAATGTTATATTTTTATTAGCTGTGTGCTTCTCCTTCCTTGGTAACCATGTTCTGTGTGGCGCAATAGAAAAACTGCATTACAGTTAGGCAGGTCAAAAGTCAACCACTGGAACTATTAGATTTTGATTCCTGGCCCAGTGTGATTTAAACTAAATAGCATATGGAATGTGATGTGACGTTAACAAAGTATTCTCTTTCAAATAAATTCAAATGGGTTACATTATAAATATGCGTGAAATATGCTTTCTGTGCTCATTGAAGCTTATAGGCTTGGGATGAGTTCCTCGCACACTCCAGTGATGTTCGTTGGTCAGTAAGATTTTCGAAATGTTTATTTATTGAACTTTTATGTAGTGCAAAGACAGTGGTCACGTGGGATAATTTTGTGTGTACGTGTACTAATATAACTAATTTCTGGGCAAATCAGAAAAACTGCTGAAACCACAGACATGATAGGCCGAATGGCCTCTTTTCTGTGCTGCATAATTCTATGATTTGTTCATTTTATTTACCTGTTTTAAATTCAAATTTGTTCAGGTGGTTCACAAACCTGTGGGCAATGCAGTGGTGTGATCAATGCAACACAAATATGTGTGCCACAGAATGGTGCAATCATAGGTCAATCCCATAGTCCCAAACACTTTGACTTGACTGGAGACTAGATCAGGCACTTCCTCAAGAGAAGAAATCAAATGAAGAACTATTGCCAGGCTAGGACTGATTCCTTGTGACCTTGACACATGTCTACCAATAGGCTGGACCAATAGAAGAGTGAGGAAATATTTGACAAAAATTGCGGGAAATTTGGAAATCTTGCAGGAAATTGCGGGAAGAAAAATCTTCTTGGTTAGATTCAAGTTAAGCAGGCAGGGAAGGATTGCTTCTGTGGACCAGGAAGGCAGAGATGGCTTATTCCATGCTCTCTGGGCACATTCCACTTCCCTGCTGCTCGCCTGTATTTTAGAAAAAGCCTGAAACCATTCCAACCCCCAGCTCGGGTGCAAACCCTTAAATGTCCAGTGCCTTGGCTCGTCCTTCCGACGTGAAAGGCGGAATATAAATTTAATTTGTTGTCGTTATTATTATTGTTGTTGAAGAATATTCTCAATCTGCTACTGAGATCCAAAGATTTGTTCTGATGATTCTAGTAAAAAAAAGTCACCAAATCCATAAATAGGATTTCACAAGTTTACTGTTCAGATATTTTAAACTTAAAGTTGCTTTGTGTCTGTCTTTGTTGGTCTTTTCCGGAAGTGGGTGTACTGATGTTTGAGACACATTTATAACCCAAGGGAGCAGTGGCTAAAAATAAAGGATCTTTCACTTAAAGAGAATGTTCTCCACCTTACTTGCAATCCAATCCACCATGTTGGTCCCTTCAATAGTAGTCTGTAACATATTTATGCCAATATAAACCAACCACCTTGGGACAGCCTGGTTCAGTTGGTAGCACTTTCACCTCTGAGTAGGGAACTGTGGGATCAAGCCATTTGGGGACTTTGACCTCATAGTCTCGGCTGACACTCCAATAAAGTGTTGGGGGAGTGATCCGTTGTTGGAGATGATGTGCTTCAGATAAATGAAAGTCCTGTCCAGCCTATTCAGACGGACATTAAAAATCCCATGGCAATATTTAGAAAAGAAAAGGGTGTTTTTCCTGGTGTCCTGATCCCAGATAAAAAATATCACTCACTTCATGGCTGTTTGTAGGACATACAATCATAGAATCATGGAATCATAGAATTATATGGCACAGAAGGAGGTCATTCAGTCCATCGTGTCTGTGCCAGCTCTTTGAAAAGAGCTATCCAAATCAATCCCACTCCCCCGCTCTCTCC